GACCACTGAACTAGAAATGGTACATGTAGTTGGTAAATTGTGTATTTCAATCATTCAATACATAAAGACATTTCAGACACAGCTTCCTTGGTAAAGTAGCATCTGAAATGGTAGCAAAAAGTACTAGAACATAGAACAATTTGTGAAGCATGTATAAATGCATACATATGATACATTTATTATAAAATACAGCCTGATATAGAGAAAACAATTCAGGAATTGAAAAAGAGAATATTTAGTGTGGCTTTCTGTATGGTCTGCATACCATTTTTCAGGCCAACAGAAAAAAAAACCTAGTCAGTGAATAAACGAGTATGCAATGGTGTCCATTCATGCCTACATGTAGATCCCAGCTGAGTGGTGTCAATACAGAACTACATGTAGATCCCAGCTGAGTGGTGTCAATACAGGACTACATTTAGATCCCAGCTGAGTGGTGTCAATACAGGACTACATGTAGATCCCAGCTGAGTGCTGTCAATACAGGACTACATGTAGATCCCAGCTGAGTGGTGTCAATACAGAACTGCATTTAGATCCCAGCTGAGTGGTGTCAATACAGGACTACATGTAGATGATGTAAACAGGGCAAGAATCCAAGAGGCTGTAAACAGGGAAAGAACCCAAGAGGTTGTAAACAGGAAAAGAACCCAAGAGGCTGTAAACAGGGCAAGAACCCAAGAGGCTGTAAACAGGGCAAGAACCCAAGAGGCTGTAAACAGGGCAAGAATCCAAGAGGCTGTAAACAGGGAAAGAACCCAAGAGGCTGTAAACAGGGCAAGAATCCAAGAGTTTGGCAAGAACCCAAGAGGCAGTAAACAGGGCAAGAACCCAAGAAGCTGTAAACAGGGCAAGAATCCAAGAGGCTGTAAACAGGGAAAGAACCCAAGAGGCTGTAAACAGGAAAAGAACCCAAGAGGCTGTAAACAGGGCAAGAATCCAAGCGGCTGTAAACAGGGCAAGAACCCAAGAGGCTGTAAACCGGGAAAGAACCCAAGAGGCTGTAAACAGGGCAAGAACCCAAGAGGCTGTAAACAGGGCAAGAACCCAAGAGGCTGTAAACCGGGAAAGAACCCAAGAGGCTGTAAACAGGGCAAGAACCCAAGAGGCTGTAAACAGGGCAAGAACCCAAGAGGCTGTAAACAGGGCAAGAACCCAAGAGGCTGTAAACAGGGCAAGAACCCAAGAGGCTGTAAACAGTGAAAGAATCCAAGAGGCTGTAAACAGGGCAAGAACCCAAGAGGCTGTAAACAGGGCAAGAACCCAAGAGGCTATAAACAGGGCAAGAACCCAAGAGGCTGTAAACAGGGAAAGAACCAAAGAGGCTGTAAACAGTGAAAGAATCCAATAGGCTGTA